ACAACCAAACTAAGCAACTACTACAAACTGAGATGTTTTCCTCCTTTTATAAGATTTTAAAATCACGCGCTAGAATTTTCCAGTACTTTCTCGAAATCAAAAAGAGATATTTATTTATTTATTTAATGCACGCGCTCTTGTGTTTTCAATTTTCCGGCTTAGCTTTCTTTTAATATTCGTCACGCGCTGCACTGCACGAGAAATAAAACCATTTAATTTATAATTGAACTAACATTAGCTTTTTAAATACCAAATTCGTAACAATACATTAAAAAAAATAAATTGCATTTTTCGTGAAATTGTTGTATAATTTTTTGGCTGGGTCCTTCTCGTGTAGACAGCAATCTGTTTTCACATAAAAAATGTCAGAATTGTACAAACTCGGCATTGTGCACCAGCTATCTATCAAATGCATCTCATCATTGTTCCTTGTAGAGATTTTGTGGCAAAAAACCATGTTCTTGCAAAAATTTTAATGCGGTTTTTAAAAGTTACGAAGATAGGGATGTTGATTAACTGACAGATTGTTAGCCTGAAAAATTATTATGCACATGTTTACACATTATGAAAATTTGACGTCTTAACAATATTGTTCTAAAACAATTTTGCATTTTTAGCATAAACACCATAAAAATAAATTTAAACAGAATACTATGTAGTAATTGGTACTAATATTGCTTTTTATCAAGAAACTTTCTGCATTTCTAAAAAGACTCGTGTACATCTAGGTGAAATAGCTGGTCTTTTTTTTCTATAGGGCCAAAATATATATACTTCTTTCTTCCATATAACATATAAATATATTTCATTAGTTTAATTTGAATAAAAAATTTTAATTAACTCTGCATGTAGTGGTTTTATTTTAACATTAAGTACCATTTTAATATTATATATAAGGTTGTATTATATTTACTTTTTATCTAACTCTAGAAACTGTGTAAATCAGCTTTTGTGTTACACATTACTGTTCATTTCAGTTGAGAGGAATTTTGTTAATTCGATTGAAGCTGTGGTTAATTCCTCCCTTGGAAATATTTATTTTGGGGGACAAAGGGTATTTAAATGCTGTAATTAATTTTTTTAAAATCACATTGGCATTCAGCATGAAAAAAAGATTTTAGCAAATTTTTAACACATAGAATGGCAACTATTCATTAAAAAGTAAAGGAAAGCAAAGCTGATTATTTTTAACCACACAGTTTTCTCTGCCTTAGTGTGCATTTTCAAAATTTTATGTCTTTGGAAGCAGTTTTTCATGAGCTTTACTTGAGTGATACATTTCTATTTGTGATATTCAAGTACACTTGTTTTCTTGAACGTTATTTTAATCATATTCCTCTCAAAGTCACACTAAATAATGGGAGCGCTAATAAAATAAACGGCTAATCTTTGGAATATGATAACAGGTAGTTTGGCGAAATTTTGGTAAGGAGATAAAGGTTACTAGCAGTGTACATAGATAAAGTCAAGAGCGTGCGCAATGCCATTTTTGTGCAATTCTGGGATTTTTTTTAAGTGAAAATAGGTCGACGTGTACATGGATACCGTGTATGTGCAATTCTTAAAACCACGGCAAGCAGTTTGCGATTCTGCACTTTCTCCCAATTTCGCACCTAATCTTCATCATGATTAAGCACTTTTGTTCCATAAAAGTTCTAGCATAAGCGTAATTCGGCTAGCAGATTGTTGAGAAAAAAATGTTGAACTAAAAAAAAAAAAGCCTTTACTTCGTGAAAACAAAATGCCATCCAAACAAAAACTAGCAGGTTGCTGTAGCAGGGTTGGTCGCCAAAAAATCGCCAAGTTACCATAATGCAAAGATTAACCAAATAAACTAATATATTGACCTATATAGAAAGTATACAAAATCAAAATGGATTTAATAAAAAGAATCTCTGAATGAAATTTATATCTGTCATTAAAAATCTATGGAATAAGGAGAATTAATTTTTATTTCTAATTTCTAATATATCGTGTATGCTCACATAATGTCCGCACTTTTTTTTTACTAAAATTACATCACTAAAATGCAGGTATGGACTTTACACTGGTCGTTCAAAATTTGTGCTTTTTCTCGTGAGTAATTTAGGGTATAAATTTCATTTTAAGCAGCCAAGTTAAGTTCTAAGTGGATGAAAATGGCATAAGTTATAAAATTATCAAATTTAAAATTGTCTAATAGCTACCTAAAATTTACAAACTCGCTTTCTCCCATCCACATATATAATATAAATTATCCCATTTACGTTATCAACACTCGGCACTTATTAGTTCGCACAGGAGCATAATATAGAGGCACAAATTAACTAACACTTGCAGTTTTAATATTTACATTTACACAAATTAAATAAACATTTGTTCTTTCAATATCTTGCACATATTATTTTTATTTTAAATCTGTTCTGACATACTGTACAAAAATCCATTTCATTTCATCATTCGTGGCAACCATCCTTCAGTTGCTTTGAATTGCAATGTAGGAATGTCTTCTTCTCATGCTGCAGCAAGTGCTCTTATTTGGCACATTTCCTGTGTTACTGCGTACCCTTGAGCACGCATATCATGAACATAAGCAACTACTTTTTTTCTAAGTTCGAAAGCTTACATTTCAACCACGAAATGCATGTCTTGTTTTGTTCGTTGTCGCCAGCTGATCACACTGTTTGCTCCAATTGCACACACACTTTTCGTCCACCTTATAGTCTTTCTGCTGCTCTTTTTCCATTTTCCTGCACAAATTCTACAACTTTCAGTTTAAAAGCCGCTGTATAGCTGCTGTGTTTTCCCATTTCAACCACATTACTTGCTAACTATCATGAATTCCAAATTATACTATGAATGAAAAGAGAAAGTTTGAAATATGCGAATGCTCCAAGGAAGGGAAAGTAATTTCATTGCAAAAGAGTATTTCCTGGAAGCCAGTGTGGTGAAAACTTGTTTAGACTGCCTTCATTTATTATCGCGTCTGCCGAGTGGATTGCTGGCGCCAATGTTATGACTGAGTAACAGCTGTACCAGAATGTAAGGAAAGTCTCTGCTTTCCATCCTGGCACCAACCAAAGAAAAAACGAATGCATATTCTTTCTTTAAAGATGTTTATTGACTAAAGGGAAAAAGGCGATGTTAAAAAGCATATATTTTAAAGTAAGAATATCTTTAGTTTTAGTTTTTAGACATTCTGTGGGTCACTTTTTGTTTACATAAATTTAGTTTTAGTTTTTAGACATTCTGTGGGTCATAAATTTTATCTGTAAAGTTGGGGTGCGGATGTTACATGAGTGTATACAGTATGTTAAATCAAGTTTTACTTTAAAGCTGAGTATGTCATTAATTAAAACTTCTGTCATAAATTATGGTACTTTCTAATTAAAGCAGCCAGTGCACACAGTCACCAAAATTGACAAGCTTAATCGGTACTGTTCTGTTATTGGGACAGGATTCAGAAATGTAGGTATGTATGTAAATGTGTTGTAATGTATTTTGCAGTTTTTATCAAATAACAGATGAACTTATTAGTGAAACATAAATTTTATTCTTAATTCACATAGAAAACTAATTTAAATACAATTCTATTTAATTTAATTTAAATACAATTCAAGTTTTACTTTAAAGCTGAGTATGTCATTAATTAAAACTTCTGTCATAAATTATGGTACTTTCTAATTAATGCAGCCAGTGCACACAGTCACCAAAATCGACAAGCTTATTCCATTACAGCTTTACACTGCAGCTTACTACTACAGTTTCTTTCCGTATAAATTTTTCATGCATTTACTACTAGTAAAACTTTCAGAATAATATTTTTAAACAATTTCTGATGTTGCTCAGCAATGGTTACTTGATAACAAATATGTCTTTGCCACTCCAATGTCAAGGAGAATAAATATAATTATTTGTTAAACAATAAAATATTACGACCTCTCCCCCTTCCAGATAAACTTCAATTGATATTTTTAAAGTTTACATTTTTTTTCTTTCAAAACAACACAATATCATATATGCAATTGAAATATAACATATAACATGCAGTCAGAAAGTGAGGAAAGAACAAAATAATTTTTATATTGATATAGAAAAAACATTTCTTTAATCAGGCCAAGCAGTGTGACTTATTGCATGTACATTTTTATGGTTTTTACCACCTTGATGAATAGCAGTGTAATTGTAGAGTTGTTAATACTATTGCCCATCTCATAAGTTGTGAATTTAGACTCGCATTATTTTTCATCCAAACTAAACTTCCTCATCATGACCATTTATAATCGATCATGATGAGGAATTTAGAATGCTTGTATAAATAATATTGCAATTTCTGTACAGCAAATATTATGGCAGTGCATTCCTTTTCTGTGGTAGAATACTTTTTTAAGTTTCTGTAAACTTCTCACTAAGGTATAATACTGGATGTTCATTCTCTCGTTCACCTTTCTGAGCTAAAATAACACCCATACTAGAGTTCGAAGCATTAATTTGCAAAATAAATTCTTTATTAAAATCAGGTATGTGTAATAGAGGCTTTTGTGACAGTTTTACTTCTTCAACAACTCGCTTTTGTGTGTTTAGTTTCTTTTTAGATAGTTTTTGCTTATTGCAAGATGAACTTTTGTTCTTATCTGTTACTTGCATTCTCATTGAATGTGGCAACTTTGAGTATCCTTTATCATTTTAAAGCCTCTTTGCTAAGTTTTCCCATGTGTGCTTAGATTCTAAATGTATTTTAATTTCTCAGCTTTAAAAGCACCTTCATGAGTTCTTTTATCAGAAGTTTTTTTATATGCTGTTAACTGTCAAACACATCTTTGCTTTTTTGGAGAAGAAAAAACTGGGGAATTTGTAATCTGAATCCAATCCTGATAACAGAACAAAATCAGTTAATCATTCAATCTGTAATGTGAAAACTTCAGATGTCACCAAAGGCTTATGTTGTAGCTGCTTTAAAAAAGAATTACCTAATTTATTTATAAAAAATGCCATTTAATAAATTTTAATCCTTCTTACAGTGGTAGATTTTTTTAACCGAATTAATCTTATCTATGGGACTGTGACGGATTACTGTACTGAAGAAACATGTCCTACAATGTCTGGAGGCCCTAAGTATGCAATTTTATTTTCCTAATTTATGAACTTTACTTAAGATGAATAGCTAAATATTATGTCTTAATTTTTTCATATATATATCTCAGATATGAATATCGATGGGCTGATGGCGGTGAATATAAAAAACCAACTGCTCTTCCAGCAGCAAAATACATCGCGTTGCTCATGGATTGGATTGAATCTCAGATAAATAATGAAGATATTTTTCCTGTGAAAGTTGGTATGATGTCTAATTTTTCTCATTAAGTAAATTTTAATTACATAGGCATAATGTTATATGTATTTTATATAAAATTTAGTATTTAAGTCTGTACAAATGATTTTTTATTTGATAAATTTAATGCATTTTGTGTAATTATTTTACTTTAATCTGTTATTAGTTTAGTGTTCCATGTTCTTATACAGTCAAAAGTCGTTAATCCGGACTCATCGAGACTTCGGCAGTTCCGGATTATAGATCATCAGTTTAAATCTCGTAAGATGGCATGCAGAAATTCTAAATTTAAAAATATGAAACTGTAATTTATGAAATAAAGAACAATTATGATCTAAAGGGTATCAAAATTTAGAAAAAAAAAAGCTTAATATTTATTTGTTTACTTTATTAAACATTTCTTTCAAAGTAAGTTGTTTAAGTTGCTTCGTTTTATGAGATAATACTTTCTCTTTAATTCTATAAACAGACATAATTTCTTGTTCAGTTACAAAGTTCCACTGTTCAAGTCCCGTAATTGCTGTGCCGAGAATACCGACTAACTTGTCAATCGAAATTTTTTCATTTTCACTAACCTCTCTGTCACCTTCTTCATGTCTTTATCCATTTTTTGCAACAATTCCACTTTTTGTTTGATGGACATCGGAACATACTTTCGTTTTGTAGATCCTTTTGGAGCTCCAGTATCGGAAATTCTATTTGACATAATCGAAAGTTCAAAGTTACTTTTATAAAATTGCTCTTGCAGTCTGCAAAAAATAATAAGCCGGAAATAATTCGAAGATTAAGGAACAACGCAATCATCAACATTAACTGAAATAGATAATTTTAGCATATACCGTTTGTTATACATAAAACGCGCACGCGAAAATGTATTCTGCGATTGTGCACACACATATGCGCAGTCGTAAAGGTCTTACGCGCATGCGTAAACGCCTATGCGCATGTGTCAACGCGGCGCATGCGCAGAAAGTTTTAAGCTTTGAGGTCCGGATTATGGGTGTCCAAATTAATGACTTTTGACTGTACCCAAAAGAAAAATTTAATATTACCATACACGTAATAAGCACATCATTGTCTGCAAGTTAAATATTTATTTATTTTAATATAAGCATTTAGCTTTATGTGAATACAAAGAGTATTGTATTAATATAATTTGTGATTGGCAACAGTATTTAATGTCAGCTTATTGTTCTAAAAAGAATTCTAAAGGTGTAATGGCCAATTGTGTTAACAAAGTTATGTATTAGAGTGATGGATACTAGATATTCTCAACTTGCCTAGAAAAATTTATGCTTTAAATTAAAATTAAAGTATAAATTTTTCTAGGCAAGTTGAAGGCTTTAAATTTAAAGCCAAAGACTGTTTAGTAGCACAAAATTCAATGAAATTTATGATTGCACCTTACACTTGGAATCCATGTATAGGATTTTGTAAAGTTAACCAATATTAATTAATTAAGGTTTAAATAATGTTTTTTCCGATGAAATATTTCAAGAAAGAAGATTTAAAATTGGCAAAGATGTGTGATTGTCAGCGAAAATCTCCAGTTTAAAGAATAAATAACAATGAGTGATTCAAATTTTGTTAAAGGAATTTTGGAAAATATTGTTGATGATGAATCAAGAAACAAAATTAAGAATTTGATTTAGAGAAAAAGTAATGGAGTGGAATTCAGGGCTCGTATAGTCAAGAATCCTTAAAAGTCCTTAGATTTTTTTTTTTTTTGAATCAATTTTTGGTCCTTAAAAGTCCTTAATTTTGGCCAAAATCAGCAGAAGGTCCTTAATTTTAATCATCTGAAATTTCTGTTTGTTTTTACGACTGCCATTTTGAGTGTGAATTAGCATTTTGGAGGAATATTTTTGGCGATTCACTGCCGTGTATATGGTAAATCTTTTGAATGGGTTCATGAATTATAATTTGTTTCTATTTCTAATATAAATGATGGGATACTCGAGTTTCTAAGCAAGAAGTGAAACAAGCATTTCGAAATTCATTTTTTCTAATAAAGAGCTCTTGAACAACTTTTCACATTTGAGGATGTGAATTCTTTTATTAAACGGTTCTAAATTTTAAGACTTTTCAACATTTTGGCGATTTTAAGATTAGTTTCTATAGAAATTTTTAATTCCGAGATCTGAGAATTTTTCGATGACTTTTTTTAAAACATCGTAACATTGATAAATTTCATTAAAATAGCAGTACTACAGTGAAAAGTCGTTAATTCGGATTCGTCGGAACTTTGGCAATTCCGGACTATCGATTTCTATCGAGATCATCAGTTTAAATCTGGTAAGATGGCATGCAGAAATTATAAAATTAAAAATATGAAACTGTAATTTATGAAATAAAGAAAAATTATGATCTAAAAAGTATCAAAATTTACAAAAAAAAAAAAAAAAAAAAAAAAACTTAATATTTATTTGTTCACTTTATTAAACATTTCTTTCAATGTAAGTTGTTTAAGTTGCTTCATTTTATGTGATAATACTTTCTCTTTAATTCTATAAACAGACATAATTTCTTCTTCAGTTACAAAGTTCTGCTGTTGAAGTTCTATAATTGCTCTGTCGAGAATACCGACTAATTTGTCAATCGAAATTTTTTCGCTTTCAATAACCTCTTCACTATCGGAAGCGAATTATAATGACGAGGAATTTGATTTAAATCATATCAAAGACGGAGTACATCGAGATGAAATGCTACATTTAGTAAGGAATTATAAGCCAAATAAAATAAAAACATCTGCCCTGAAGATAAGGATAGTGCTGACAGATCAACTTCCAATTCATTGCGCACTGTGGCGTCCCCCCCAACCCCGCAGAGCAGCGTGAAATTGATAAACAGATTTCGGAATGGTTAGAGAAACAAAGGATATGCCTTTATCTATTTTTTGCAGCAATTCCACTTTTTGTTTAATGCACTTCGAAACATACTTTCGCTTTGTAGATCCTTCACATATTAGTAAATATATATCAGAAATTCTATTTGACATAATCGAAAGTTCAAGCTTACTTTCATAACATTGTTCTAATAGTCTGCAAAAAATAATAAGCCAGATCCAATTAGAAGATTAAGGAACAACGCAATCTGCAACATCAACTGAAATAGATAATTAGATAATTTTAGCTTAGCTTATACCATCCGTTCTACATTAAACACGTATGTGTAAACGTATTATGCGCATGCACACACGCATATTCGCAGCTGTAAAGGTCTTACGCGCATGTGTCAATAAGACGCATGCGCAGAAAGTTTGTAGCTTTGAGGTCCGGATTATAGATCATTCTCAATTATGGGTGTCCGAATTAACGACTTTTGACTGTATATTGAAAAAGACGCATGCGCAGAAAGTTTGTAGCTTTGAGGTCCGGATTATAGATCATTCCTAATTATGGGTGTCCGAATTAACGACTTTTGACTGTATATTGAAATTATATTTAAAAAAGAACTTTAAAATAAAACATTTTTATTTTTCGCTGTCATATTATAAAGTTTCATTTTGAATCTGAGAAATAAACAAGGTATAAACGAGCACAATTTACGAAACAGCTCTTAGCTAAAGCAAAATTAGCAATGTAATTAATTAAAAATATCTTGTTTTTAATTTTTTCGTAGTAAGAGTTTTTCCCATGTAATTGTCTCAGATTATTCAAAATTCTCAGAATGGGCATCAGTTTTCTCTATAAAATTAATTTTATACTTTTTCCCTCCTTTCTTTTTTCCAAAATATTTCTGTCTTGTTGCTGTTACAGAAATGGTAGGGATAATTTTTCCTTAGGATTTTATACATTGCAGCTTGGAAAGTTTAGAAGGATTTGAAGGCAAGATTTATAAACCAGAATTCTAGAAGATTCGAGAGATATGTGACAAAATGGAAAATGTCTCTGGTATCATCACGTAGTGAATTTTTAAGTTTTAGAAAGTTTTCAATGAATTTCTTACTTTTTGGAGAACGTCTGGAAGAACAATGAAAACATAATATTTGAATGTTTTACTTCTGATACTAGAATCCTAGAATCTTAACATGTTTATCTTCCTTTTATTTTCTCTACTTTTCACTAGACACAAGCATTGAAAATATCAAAAATGCTTCTAATCTTATCACATGGGCAGGCATTATAGAAAGGTTTTTTTTAATTATTAATAAAGAAATTGAAAACCTTTAATTTAAAGATTCATCTAATATTTCTTAATGCATCATACACATAGCTGCCAATAGGCATTTTTCCACCTGATTCAATCTTTGTGGATCCTAAATTCTGCTGGTTAGTGCCTTTCTAAATCCTACTTCCAATGCCTGCTCTAAATTCTAAAAGTTTTGCCATTTCTAGATTTTGTTGTTAGGTCTGTCACTAAATTCTAGAAATTCTGACACATCAGCTCTGTAACCGGTCTTTGCTATGTATATTTCGTATTTATTCCGAATGTTCATATTACTAAAGAAATATAAAATTGGCCACTTTTTCTGTACATTCTAAATGCATTTAGTGTTTTTATAATAATAGAAATCCTTAATTAAATCAAAAAATTTTTAAATGAAAAGGAAACGTTTTGAAGAAAGAAACTGAGTAAGAATTACTGAATACATAAAGAAAATTATTCTTCAAAGATATGTGCAGTTATGTAAATTACCCAGTTTATGATTTCAGCTTTTACTATAATTTCCCATTTCTATTTCCTCATGTGATATCGTTATTGAGCCAGATTAAATTAAAATTAAATGGTATAATCTTTGAACCACTAGTCCACATAATTAGTTTGAATTTGACTGTTTTTGTTATTTAAACCTTTGTCTGATATTTTAATTAATTTCAGACATAACGATAATGTGCATCATGTCTGTCGGGGGGTTTTGGACTATTTAACTTTTACCAGATCAATTAAACTCTCATAGGTACATTGTAAAGAGGTTGACAAGTTAGGAGGTAAAGCACATAGAAACTAGCGAGAGCATTTGTTTGCATATTGAAACAAATCTGTAATTGTTAGAAAAGATGCTTAAAGAGAAGGAAATCAATATAAACTAGCCAAAATGTTTGCGAAGGCTTCTAGAGACATTAGGTATTTTTGAAAGCAGGAAAGATAAAAAATTAACGCCTTCACCAGGAATCGAACAGCAGACCTCTGGAGTAGCAGCCCAGTGTGCAAACCACTGCACCACGAAGGCTCGCCAAGAAGGTGGGAGAAAAACTTTATAGGCTTCAAATTAAAATGATGGATAAATATTTTGTTGACTGTTGTTATTAAAAAACATAAATGTTTTGTAGCTTTTAATTTGTAATTATCCTAATAATGTTTAAGAATCAATGTCATAAATTACATGTATTTTAAACTGTGAAATTTTATTAGATTTTTACTTTAATAAGGCTTTTTTTTTAACAAATATTGTTAAAAAATAAAATTTAATAGTGGCCATGTAAATCCATAATGACTAAGATTGTCTAATTACCTAATTTAATTCTTTATAACTAACTACTTAACCTTAAAAATTATCTCTACATATGAAAGCGAGTTATTACCTTTCATTAATACTCACTGTGGTCACAAGATAAAAATGTAAAAATTCAAGTAAAACTTATTCTTTGCATCTATTGAGACTTAGAATACAGGGTGTTTCATAGTTCATGGGACAAACTTGGAGGGGTGGTGGAGCATACTAAAACATGCTTTTTTTCATAGGAATGTAGGGTCTAAAGTAACGGGTTAAGGCAGGAACGCAAAAAAACGACACGAGAGAAAAATGTGTTTATGCACAAAATCGACACAAAGTGCTTCTTTGTAGCAATAGAGTATTCACAAAAAATGTTCAAAATTGTGACCACCAGTAGTAATACATGCTTGGTAATGTTGCAGAAGGGATTGATGAACATTTTGAAAAACAACAGGCATATCACGCATGCTTGCAGCTGCAATGGACAGTCATGCAACGAGGTCCTCTAGTGAGTCAACGGGAGTCTCGTAAACGATGCTCTTCAGATGGCCCCATAAAAAAAAAAAGAATCTAAGCTGGATAAATATGGTGAATGGGGTGGCCGTTGAACGGGTCCATCACGGCCAATCCATGCAATACTCTCAAAACGGTGGAATGACTCAGCTGCAGACGACGTGCAATAGCTCTTGTACTTGTCTGAGGTGATTCATGCATAATGTTCAAGATGGATTCTTCAATACGAGGTTGTCGTGCACTTATTCTTCCACTCCAAGTGTCAGAGGTGGCTTCAAATGACCCGTTTTCGCACAGAGACCGATGCAACCTCTCAAACATTGTGTGCTTCGGCATACGCCTGTTCGGAAACTGTTCCTGGTACAACCGTAGCACTGCTCTGCCGTTCCCATTAGAAGCACCATACATGAGATGCATGTCAGCTTTTTCCCTGTGCGTAAACCCGCCCATCACTCTCAACAGCAGAGTTTCGAATCATCCTACGATGCATCAGATCGTGGTTTGTCCGGATCACTACCTCTGCATTGCCAACCAATCACAGCTGTAGTTCCTATTACTGTTACCTTTTTTGAACATTTATTGTGAATACTGTATTGCTGCAAAGAAGCAGTTTGTGTTGATTTTGTACATAAACACATTTTCCTCTTGTATCGTTCCTGCCTTAACCCATCACTTTAGACCCTACATTCCTATACAAAAATGCATGTTTTAGTACGCTCCACCACCCCTACAAGTTTGTCCCATGATCTATGAAACACCCTGTATATACAAAACAACTTATCACCTCTGGTGCTTTAATGGCTTATTGGAACCTTAAAGTATATTAACTGGGTTACAATCCCTGGAACTCTACACAAAGCTATGACATTGACTGCATTAAGAAAAGCCTGACTAACTTTCAACACTTGCCAGCCATGCCTACATCAGGCCTTTCTGGTTTGTTCTAATCAGCAGGTCTCTCTCTAGACACGCAGCAACAGTGACAAACATTCAGTCTTTTGTTATGAATCATACTGATTATGATCTTACTTCTCGTTTTAATCTATGCCGTTTGACGTAAAATCTACCTGTTATTTACTAAACCTCTAGACTGACCAAGTGTGTGACAAAATGAGCCACAAAAAAATCAACATAAAGCTAACTGTTAGTAAAACGTAAATTTTTATTATCTTCTTTCAAATATGACCAACTATTATAAGTGTAAAATTTTTAATGCTACTTGATAAGTTGCAGAAACTTTATTTTATTCTCAAACTTATTTATAATTATATTAGTTAATTCATGTTTAGTAATAATGCATACTACTTAGGGATCTATTTTATTTTTAGGATGATATTACAAAAGTGAAATTCAGGCATAGAATAATATTTTTAATTGAATTTATTGTTTCCATTTGCTCATAGGTCCTTAATTTTTTTCACTAATGCTCCTTAAAAGTCCTTAAAAGTACTTAATTTCCGTGTGCAGAAATACATACGAACCCTGGAATTGGAAAATGGTTTGACTAGTTTTATGTATATACAGTACAAAGTCCAAAATCCGGACTGGTCGGGACTTCCATGATTCCGGATTTTTCCGGATAATAGATCTTCAATTTAAATCTGATAAAATGGCATGCAGAAATTATACAATTAAAAATATGAAATCCTAATTTGTGAAACAAAAAACAGTTATGATCTAAAGGGTATCAAAATTTACAAAAAAAGTTTAATATTTATTTGTTTACTTTCTTAAACATTTCTTTCAATGTAAGTTGTTTAAGATGCTTCCACAAAAAATTCAAAAAGTTCCTTTTTCTTTTTTGTGTCATATACAGTGGACTTTCCAATGCCATACTCCTCACATAATTTTGAGACAGATATGCCTTTATCTATTTTTTGCAGCAATTCTACTTTTAGTTTAATGGACATCAAAACATGGTTTTGCTTTGTAGATCCTTTGGCATCTCCAGAATTGGAAACTCTTTTCGACATAATCGAAATCTCAAGCTTAGTTTTTATAAAATTGCCTTCATAATAACAGTTTGCAAAAATAATAAGCTCAATCAAATTAGAAGATCAAAGAGCAGCGCAGTCTGCTACATTAATTGAAATGCTTTGAGTCAGTAAAGATAATTTACTGACTTTACTACTGAAATAAATTGAGTCAGTAAAGATAATTTTAACCTAGTTTAATAGCGTAAGTTATACATTATTGGCTGTGTATCACAAGATTGGCGCTGAAGCCAAGTTGTTTTGCTAAATTTTGTCTTGCTCCTATTGCGTATTGCATTAAGCCTGAATTGTATTAGTTTGGTTATTTACTATATCTACGTTTATTTCTTGCACATGCTTAACACTAATTTGAATCCTAAATAAATAAAACTCCCACATATACTTAAGGCTTTATCTAGGGCCGGTCCTCGATACCACCTGATGCAGTCTCTATGGGTCCTAAATTCTGCTACAAAGTGCTTTCCTAAGTTCTAAATTTTCACTGTGCCTAAACTTTGGATCCCAGTGTTCCTAAATCATAAAAACTGCTCATCCCTTAATTTCGCCGCTGGGTGCTTCCCCAAATTAAAAAAATTTTGTCTTCCCTAAATTCTGCCGTCCGGTGCCAACATATTCTGTCGCCGCTTCTAGGTTTATGGTGAATAACATATCAGTTTTTCTTAATAAAATTAGCACTAAACGTAATCTTTTGGCCTATGAGTTTCATTAACAAAATCTATTTTTAGCATATGAAAAGAAATTTTTTTTTGAATTTTTCCTCGTCAACATTTCTTAGAGCTTTAAAAATCTATAGTCATCGCCAAGCGTAATGTTAGCATAAAAGGTAGCCATACTCTTGTTATTCAATTACTAATATAAAAAAAGTTTAGACATCACAGCTTGAGTTATTACTGAAGCTCTCATGTATTGATAAACATGCAGTGATGAAAGCAAAAGATAATAAATAATGACTCACCAGGTCAATGTCAGGGTTATAAAATAGGTGAATGTTTCGGTTTGAGATTTATGCCAAGTAGTCAGCTATGGAGCCAAATTATTATTCTCACAAATTTATGCTTACATGATTGTTTTTCCCATAATGAGGTATTTTATTTAGTGCCTAAGTGAAATTAAGAATCGGAATTTTTAAGTGAAAATCTCCATATGTTTTATTATGGAAGAAAAAATCAAATGCGCATACATAAAGCAATAATAAAAAAAATTGTTTGTGGTTTTGAGGTCCAGATTTTAGATCATTCTGGATAATGGATGTCCGGATTTCGTACTTTGTACTGTATTAAAAAATATTCCTAAAATATGAGAAGTCTATTGAATGTTGAAAGGAAAGATGCAGGTAATCAAAAATTACTATCCATCTTATGACATTTTTTAGTTAAGAATGTATTATTTATTACTTTTACATTCTTCAAATGTAAAAGTAACCTTTTACATTTTGAATGTTTTAGATGCATATTTCCTGCTCATATGTTATTCATTTGCTTCAAAGTAATAATAAATTAAGATAATTTTTATAATGTTCTTTGTATTTAATAATTTTATTTTTTTTACATTATATTTTGCAATGAATTAAGCTATAGTGAAAACTCTATAATCTTTGAAAGATAAACCTCAATGATGTATGTGCATATGTATATATAATATATATTGGTAAATACTATTTTAATACAGGTTTTAATTTTATTTATTTTCATTAGATGTTCCATTTCCAAAAACATTTCTTCCAACTTGTAAAAAAATTCTGACAAGATTGTTTAGAGTGTTTGTACATGTGTATATTCATCATTTTGAGCGACTTGTTTTAATTGGAGCTGTAAGTAATTTCCGATATTTTCTAAGTTCATGGCAGTTATAGAATGGTAAATAATTATATTTTAATTTTTCTGTAGTTCTAAGTTTTTTTTTTTTTTTTTTTTTTTTTTTTTTACAGGAGGCACACGTGAACATGTGTTATAAGCATTTTTACTATTTTGTTACAGAATTTGATTTGGTTAGTCAAAAAGAGCTAGAACCCTTAGTAAGTATAACTGCTCATAATTTTCACACCGCATATTAAAGAATATAGAAGTCTTTGTTCCTTAATAAAGATTTTTAACAGTCTGCATATTGTAATGTTCTAGATTGTTACATATTGAACAGTATAAAAATCCATAAATTTTTTCATATTAAAAATTTGTGAAGGCATAATTTATAATTTTCTTTATTATTTTAAAGATTTCATTGCCAATTCCCTAAGATGGCCATCCATGGTTCCATAATTTTAGTGTTCTGTAAATGTGGGTTTCTTAGAAAAGATGACTGTCAGTGATGGTGATTATCAATTTATGTAATCAATTTCACTATTCAAGATTTCTAAATTCTGCCAAATTCTGGTAGGAAAGGGGCCATTCCTCTTTAATAAAATTTTTGGTACTTTTTCGTTTTGCTGGCGCAAGCAATAAAGTCGCGAATAATGTCACAACTGATGCCAAACAGAATATCCTTGCTGGTAGCCTTTTACGCCTCATTTTCAAAACAAGTCGCAGCCATTTCTTATCAGATTGATTGGTTCTTTCAATACTGGCATGCAATTACATAGAATTTTTACCAGATAGCACAATTTTATGCCCTAAGGTCATTTGCAGTAATTATGTCAATTAGAATGCAATCACACATCTCGCCTAAAGGCGAAAATATAGAAAAGGCAAAGTTAAGGGTTAAATTCATCAATTCTAGTGAGAATACGTTAGCGAAGTAAAGCACTGCGGTTTTGCACGGCGGTCTAGCTATTCGTACGAATTGAAATAATTCTTGCATGTAAACTTATATTCCAAATTAAGATGTAACTTGAAATGAATGTAGATAATTACTGAGAGAATTAGATTTTTGTAGCGTAGTTTACGTAAGATGAGATCACTTGGGGTAACATGTAATGTACCGCCGAATCAGCTTGTTGAACCATGAAGCATAATAAATTCTTAAATTAATGTCTTTTTACAAATTTACTGTCGTTATGTATTGGCTTTTTACAAAATTTTAAATGATATTAAAATGTTTATGCCTTCAAAATAAAAAATTCTTAGAACTAACATTTGTTAACATTTTTTTATGTGTGTACTGTATGTTGTCGCCAATAAAGTCTGCTTGGCGAGATTTGCACTGGCGAAATGGAAAAGTACCAAATTATTGTGAGGTGGCTATGTGCCTCTTTGTGCAAACTTTAGTTAGTTTCGATCTGTCAGTTTCTCCTAGTTCCAATTCTGTTTGCCACTGTTATACTTCCTTTTCATGAAGAGTTATTTTTAGATGAGAGGAAGATGCCATGATATTAGTTCCTCTGCTTCATAAGTATTGCTTGCTTCTTTAGGTAGTCTGTTCACTGCTTCATTGCCTATAAGACCTACATGGGATTTAACCCATATAAGTTGCATATAGACTTAATTATTATGTTGTAAAAGATGATGGATATTAACTATTAAGGGGGAGGTATGCTTATATAAAATAGACATACTCTTGATGTAGATAATTGCATTTTCTGATGCTATTTTAATTACATATTAGATGCTTTTGTAATAGCTAATGCTTCAGCTTGAAAAACCATTCTGTTCTTTAAGATGTCTTTTCTAGAAGTAAAGCTCTCTTTCGCCTTCTAATCGTACAAAAGCTCTGCTGACTCCTTCAGTAGTTTTGGAGCCATCTGTGAATATAGTAATAGGTATCTGTTGCATAATAAGATGACTTTGCGTATTTTTGATTAGGATGTGCATCCCTAATCCTTTCATACTAGGATGTGTCAGTAAGATCTTTATAGGTTATTTATATTGTATTGGACTGTATGTGATATTATTAAAGATAGCATCTTGTCTTAGTTGAAGGATCCTTGAATATACAGTTTCCTGTTCAGCTCATATACGAAGCAGATCCGTCCTGCTAGAACTATCATTACGTTAGCGGCAGTTGTTTGATATACTTCACACAAGAGCACATGTTCAGGGTGAACAGACGTTGGAGTATTAAGAGGTATTTGATTTTCCTTCTTCCCATTGGTTGTACCCATACTGCTGCTGCATAAATTGCTATCTTTTCAGCTACTATGGTATATATGATTTTTTGAATATGTGGATTTTGATCCCTCTCCGTAATTGACGTATTTTACGATGTATTGCAATTGTTTCGAGTCGAGCTTGAATGTGGGGAATCCACACAAGTCCTGGATACCACATAAAACCGAGATATTTTAGTTGATTCAGAGTTTTAATATTTTTATGAAGGAGTTAAATATAGGGACATTTTTATAGATTGGAACCTGGTTTTAGTCTTAGTATTATTATTACTGCTGACTTTTCTATAAGTTTCGAGCTGTTTTCTGGTACGCCCTTTGATAAGGATGGTAGCATCATCAGCAAATGTATTAATAATATCTGCTCAGTTTGCTTATAGTTGCTTTTAAGGGTTAAATGTTAAAACTCCATAAGGCCCACACAGGATTCTTGCTGACTACCTGTTTGCTGAGTTTTGAAAATTACACCATTATGGTGCACTATTAATAAAGTTCTATTTGTCAGATACTGTCAAAAATTTTTAAGAGCTTTAATGAGCATTGGGCTGCCTTGAGTACCCTCTTTATAGCTGGCCAACAGTGGGTGTCAATGGTGCTCTTAAGGTCTCTGTAGATAAATTCCAAATGGAAATTTGCGTTTCTATTTTCTTGTACTTTTTTTTTAACGTTTTCTGAGGCATGTTTTGTGGAGAGGCCAGTTTTGAAACCATATTGTTTTGGCCTAATATTATTGCTTGTGGATGTGAAAATTGAGCCTATTGATAAGCAGGTTTTTATAAATTTTCCTAGTGCAGATGTTAGGCAGATTAGTCTTAAAATTAGGCTTAACTGCACTAAAACAGCTTTTAAATTGTTGATAATTCTACAAATATTGCTTGCAGATTTCTTAAAGGCATAAAAATATTAACCGAAAGATAAGCACAACATAATTCAATCATTTTTAAGGCAAAAAATGCACAATTTTCAAACATATAAGAGTAAAGAAACTGAGATCACTGAGCCAGGTAACAGAGTGGATATATATTATTCGTTTTTGAGTTATGCGAGATATGTGCATATGTACGTACAGACACTACAAAAAATTCTCTTTAGAATTAATTTTAAATCAATTTTATAATTTTTTTGGGAGGAAAAGAGTCTTTTATTCTGTCCTTATGTACAGATGTCGCCAAAAAGCATTGTTAAATTTCATTCGATAGCGGTCAAAATGGATATTTTCATTGAAATATATGCTGCCTGAAACTTTTCGCGATTGCAATACTTCCTTTTTACTTCATACAAGGAAGTGAAAAAGGGAGTGTAGTTTATGTATAATCTTAAGGATTGGGTAGTCCAAATCATCAGGACATGGAGCCTTTTTCTATGGAAGATTATGGAAAACCTGTTGAATTTCTTTAACTGTGAAAGCAACATCATCTTCAGTTGGCAGAACTACCATGTCTTCTCTTAGCAGCTTTTGCTCCGTGGTATCGTTAACTGGATTATCTTCTGGAAAAACAGTAGTAAGGACCTGGCTGTGTTGGATGGGAGATTTGGAATATTGTCGATGGCTGTCTGTTGCAAGTAAATTTGTGTTGGTGGTAAACTTTTTGTATAGTTAATTTGTGAAGGATACTATAAGGATTTGAATTAGTGCTGAGGAAATTTCTCCAGCTATTCATTTTTGAAGAGGAGATGTTCCATTTATATTGTACTCTTTCTGTTCTGAATGCAGTAAGGAAGTCTATGTTTGTTTTCATTATCTGTATTTTCATACAGTCTCCTTCAAAATGCTCTTCATTTCTGCCTTTGTTGCCACAGTTCCTTCATCCACCAAGCAATACCTTTTAGTTGCTTAGATGTTCTTTTGGGAAGTATTTGATCACAGTTGGATAGTAGTGTTTTCATTAGGTTTTCTGTATATGTTTCCTGATCATTTGGGCAGTAGCAATTGTTGAGTTGTAATTCTTCTTTGGTGAGCGTGACAGTGAGCTAAGAAGTTTGTATTGATTAAGAATTATTGTTAAAGCATTTGTGAAGATGTTATAATGAATATATTTATGATGTGAGCAGCTGTCAACAGCCCAGTTCTGGATTATATTAATGATATTGCTGTTGGACAAGTAGCTGTTTAGTCTGTATTTTATTGAATTGTGTGCACAAGTAGCCATTTGATTCCTACTTTTGTATCTTGAATTAACTAATTAATTAAATATAAATTAACTTGAATACAGTGGACAGGACCATTTTGATTATGGTGCCCTGATTAATACTGTTTCTGTTATAGCATTCCATGTAGCTTCTGTAGCTGAAACAGGAAGTGATGTAAGCAGGGTGTGCTATTGAGACACTGTTTCCTGTTCTGTAATTAAAATCTTAGCAGTTAATGCAGATTGGATTACTTCCATGATATTCTTTGATATTGTGATTACCTGAGCAGAAGACATGGTAGGTTTTGTTTTTGTATTGCTGTGGATATGCCCGAGGTTTTGATATTTGAAACGTTGTTTCGTTGAAAAATGTTTGGGGGTAATATATAAATGCCATCCAGTGGGAAGTTTTGGTTTGTGCATGACTGTATTGCCGTTGAGATGCATTCTGTGATTTACATTGCATTATTTCTTTCTTTCAGTCTGTATAATAGTTTGATTGCATTGCTATTTAAAAATGTTCTGATCCTAATGCTAATTCAAATTCTTGTTTTTGCACTTTTAGTGGGATATTATATATGGTTATTTTAAGATATCGTAAGACTGGGTATTTGATAAAAGATGCTGTTTCAAAGTTAAGTGTAGTTTTAGATTCAAGGTTGCAAACCACAGTGAGGTCTCCCTTTTGAATTTCCTGTACAGTATTTACTTAAACGGCAGTACTTTGTAAAAAGAATTCTTTGGCAAGTTCTTCCTTTAGTTTTGTGCTTGAGCTATTGCACTTAGGATATGTTAATAATGTTGGCTTTGAAGAACAGATGACCTGCAAATAATTTCATTTATAGTGAT